TATATATATATATATATATATATATATATAGACCCATTAGGTGCCCACAAAGTACCTCTAGGTCTTTAAGGGTTAAAGGAAGTTGGAGCTAAACTGTGCAGGTCACCGGCCCTCCAGGACCGAGCTTGGACAACCCTGATCTAAACCATCACCTTATTGTGGTGGAGGGGTTTGAGTGCCTGAATGATCCTGAAAGCCATGTTGTCGAGGGTTAAATGTCCCTAGTAGGGTCTTACAAGGCAAAAATGTTCTAGATGGCAGGACAGAATAAGGTTCAAAAACTCATAATAAGTAAAACACAATCCAGGGCCATGACATGGCCCAATATGGTGCAATCAGAGCCCCACCCTGGAGCCAGGCCTGGAGTTGGGGTATGCATACATTCACTTGGTTGGCAGATTTTTTCCCTCGGAACCAAGCTGGACTCAACCCAAAGGAGTGACATAGGACCCATAGAGGCGATCTTGGCGGCCGCCATAACCCCTCCTCCACCCTCTCTCACCGGTCCACACAACCAACCCCCTGGTCCGCACTTTGAACCGTAACACAACCTCCCCCACTTTAGGGTTGAGGGCGGCATATTCTTCTTTTGCCTACAGCACCAGTTCAGCATGCTCCGGCCCTGGTGGGACCATTCTCCAGCAGGGTCACCACAAGTCAGGTGTCCTGATCCTTGTAATGTAATGTAATGTAATGTAATGTAATGTAATGTGTATTTATATAGCGCATTTATTGTGTATGGTCATACACCCAAAGCGCTTCACAATCATGAGGGGGAAATCTCTTCACACCACCACCAGTGTGCAGCTCTACTTGGATGATGCGACGGCAGCCACAGGACAACAGCGCCACTGCACTCACCACACCCCAGCTATTGGTGGAGAGGAGAGACAGTGATAGAGCCAATTCGGTGGAAAGGGGTGATTGGGAGGCCATGATCGTAAGGGCCGATAAAGGGACTTTGGCCAGGACACCGGGGTTACAGCCCTGCTCTTTCACGAGAAGTGCCATGGGATATTTAATGAGCACAGAGAGTCAGGACCTCGGTTTAACGTCTCATCTGAAAGACGGCGCCCACTGACAGTATAGTGTCCCCTTCACTATACTGGGGCATTAGGACTCACACAGACCACAGGTTGAGCGCCCCCTGCTGGCCTCACTAACACCACTGCCAACAGCAACCTAGTGTTCCCTAGTGGTCTCCCATCCAGGCACTGACCAGGCTCAGCCCTGCTTAGCTTCAGTGAGTAACCGCTCTTGGGCTGCAGGGTGATATGGCTGCGGTAGAAACATAGAAACTTTCTCTTGGGACATGAAATCTCATCTCACTGGGATGAAAAGAGTCTGAACTGGTGTAAAAGTTTGAACCCTACAGACTAGAGATTTTCGGGCTCACCTCCACACAGTTTAATCTCTCTGGAACTCAGCTTCTGAGGGAGGGCTGGACTCTTCTCTGCTTTGGAGATCCCCACAGTCAGAGGTGGTGGGCTGGTGTGGGCTTATAGCTAACCAAATCAGCCGCCATGTGTTGGGAGTTTTCCCCAGTGAATGAGAAGGTCGCTCTGCACTTTCGGGTCAGAGATGGGTCTCTCGCTGTAGTTTCTGCCTACCGGCTAAACACCAGTGCAGTACCCTGCCTTCTTGGAGTCCTTGGTAGGGTGCTGGAAGGTGCTCCAACTGAGGATTATACTGTTCTACTGGGGGATTCGTTGCCCATGTGGGTGTACAACAGTGATACCTGGAGAGGCGTGATTGCGAGGAACCCGAGGAGTTTGTCCCTAATGAACACCATGTTCAAGCAAAAGGGTGTCCATCAGTGCACATGGCACCAGGACACCCTAGGCCAGAGGGTAAGGGTCAACATTGTGGTTGTTTTCCATCTCCATTTATGCATTTAGAAGATGCTTCTATCCGAAGCAACTTACACGCGTGAGCATACACCTGGGGAGCAGATGGGGGTTCAGCAGTGGTATTGAGGTGGATATTTTATTATTAATTCTCCCCACCAACGATCCCTGCTGGTACCTGGACTCGAACCAGCAACCTTTGAATGTAATGCGTATTTATATAGCACACTTATTGTGTATAGACATACGGCCAAAGTGCTTCACAATCATGAGGGGAGTTTCTCTACACCACCACCAGTGTGCAGCTCCACTTGAATGATGCTCCGGCAGCCACAGGACAACGGCACCAGTGCTTCACCACACACCAGCTATAGGTGGAGGGGAGTGGAGAGACAGTGATGGAACCAATTCAGTGGATGGCCATGATGGGTATGGGGCGAAAGAAGGAATTTGGACAGGACACCGGGGTTACACTCCTACTCTTTACCAGAAGTAAGGATTTTTATTGAGCACAGAGAGTTAAGACCTTGGTTTAAAGTCTCATCTGAAGGATGGCGCTCACTGACAGTATGGTGTCCCCTTCCCTTTACTGGGGCGTTAGGACTCACACAGACCACAAGTTCAACGCCCCCTACTGGCCTCTCTAACACCACTGCCAAAAGCAACTTAGTTTTCCCATCTGGTCTCCCATCCAGGCACTGACCAGGCCCAGCCCTGCTTAGGTTCAGTGAGTAACCGCGCCTGCGCTGCAGTGTGATATGGCGGTGGATCCAAAGTCTAACTCTCTTACAATTAATCCATGGCTGCCTAATTAATCTGATCTCCAACCGTATGTCTTGGACACTCAGCGGCAGAGCTGTCTACTGATCAATACCAGGTGTTGAGTTGGATCTGCTGGCAAAGGAGGAAGCTGAACAGACTCCGCAGAGGGATTTTGGATTCTCTAATCTTGACCCCTTTAAGGCACAGATCAACTGTGAGAAACAAGCAAGGACAACTATAGACTTAGGAGTAAACATCCACTAGTCTGATTGTCAGACAGCTTTGCATATTAATAAGGCTAAACAGGCAGTGCAGTAGCGGGTGTCGCGGACATCTATTCTGCCGCCCTATGCGCAGATATAACTGAGGACACGCGGGTGTCGCGGACCTCTATTCTGCCGCCCTATGCGCGGATATAACTGAGGACGTGCGGGTGTCGCGGACCTCTATTCTGCCGCCCTATGCGCAGATATAACTGAGGACACGCGGGTGTCGCGGACCTCTATTCTGCCGCACTATGCGCGGATATAACTGAGGACACGCGGGTGTCGCGGACCTCTATTCTGCCGCCCTATGCGCGGATATAACTGAGGACACGAGGGTGTCACGGACCTCTATTCTGCCGCACTATGCGCAGATATAACTGAGGACGCGCGGGTGTCGCGGACCTCTATTCTGCCGCCCTATGCGCAGATATAACTGAGGACGCGCGGGTGTCGCGGACCTCTATTCTGCCACCCTATGCGCGGATATAACTGAGGACACCAGGTGTCGCAGACCTCTATTCTGCCGCCCTATGCGCGGATATAACTGAGGACGCGCGGGTGTCGCGGACCTCTATTCTGCCGCCCTATGCGCAGATATAACTGAGGATGCGCGGGTGTCGCGGACATCTATTCTGCCACCCTATGCGCGGATATAACTGAGGACGCGCGGGTGTCGCGGACCTCTATTCTGCCGCACTATGCGCAGATATAACTGAGGACGCGCGGGTGTCGCGGACCTCTATTCTGCCGCCCTATGCGCAGATATAACTGAGGATGCGCGGGTGTCGCAGACCTCTATTCTGCCGCCCTATGCGCAGATATAACTGAGGACGCGCGGGTGTCGCGGACCTCTATTCTGCCGCCCTATGCGCAGATATAACTGAGGACGCGCGGGTGTCGCGGACCTCTATTCTGCCACCCTATGCGCGGATATAACTGAGGACACCAGGTGTCGCAGACCTCTATTCTGCCGCCCTATGCGCGGATATAACTGAGGACGCGCGGGTGTCGCGGACCTCTATTCTGCCGCCCTATGCGCAGATATAACTGAGGACACAAGGTGTCGCGGACCTTAATTCTGCCGCCCTATGGGCGGATATAACTTAGGACACGCGGGTGCTGATGGAAGTGTCGCCTATGCGCGAATATATCTGAGGACGCGGGTGGTGAGGGAGGTGTCACAGACACAACTGAGGACGCGGGTCATAAGGGAGGTGTCTCGGACACTGCCCTCTCTATACTGCCGCCCTAGGTGGCCGCCTAGGTCGCTTTATGGACGCACCGGCCCTGGTGATATGCAGTCAAATATTTCGCCAAACAGATCTGCCACTTTTTGCGCTCATAAACAATCATAAAGCTCTCGTGCTGCAGGAATGAGGAGGTCTGCTGAAGGTGCAGCTGTCGTGCTGTGAGGGGTTTGCGTGTTTAATAATCTATGGCAGTTTGCGTTCATTGAACAGTAAGAATGATTAATAAATCCATGTGAAACAGCCCCTTAAAGTCACGTCTCACTTTCAGTTTTGGGCTTTGGCGCGTTTTGCACTCAGACTACAAGCGTACCGCGCCAATTCCCAAGTGAACCTCGCTCAGGCCCACCTCTTCCAACCGGGCCAGGGCCGGCCAAGTGAACCATGCCAGAGCCTGATTCAGCGCACTCACACTTCTCAAACGATCCGGGAAACGGGCCTGGGCACGGTTCGGATAGCATAGTGTGAGTACGCCCTAACAGAATGTTTTACACTATAAACCTTTGATCACTTTATTGGAGGCGGAGCTTATCCTCCCTATTACATCATAGAGCAGAACATTCCAGAAGCTGTGGTTTGGTCAGATCTGCTTCAACATGAGCTGATTTCAGAGGAACCACAAGGTGTTGAGTTCTGAAACCTACAGGACATTTTCTTGACAATACGAGCTCTAATATGAGAAACAACGAAGGATATTTTGATTTCTCATTTCATGACCCCTTTAATGATGTAAAGAGTAACTCACCCAAAGCTGTTTCTGGCGCACGACAGGCGCCGCTGCTTTCCTGAGTTTCTCGGCGTCGTGTTTTTTCCCTCGCCACTCTTAGACTGCATGTGGCTGATGAGGCCATTGAACGGGATGCAATCTTTGCTGCGCAGGCTGTGGATGTCGATGACGGTGGAGTAAATGTCCCGCAGGTTAATTATCTTCGTTTTCTTGTCTCGGTCCTCATGCAGAACTGCATTGGCGCAGATGAAGAGGAAGATGCCGATGCCCATGACCAGCGGCCCCAGCACTTTCAGGTTGTCCGACTGCAGGTATCCACCAAACAGACTCTGGAAGAACCCGAGTGAGTGTGCGACGGGAGACGAGGAGTTAAAGCTGGACTCGTTATTATGCGTGAAGCCCGCTGTGGCGTGTGTGTTTTCAACAGGCCAGTATCCCAGCACGGCCATGGCCACACCCACCAGCAGGATCAGCACGCCCAGCGCCGCCACCAGCCCCGAACCCGAGCACAGCTGCACTTTACCCTTCACCACCACCACGTCATTCTTACGCTTCTTCTTGGCTTTCCTCTTTTTCTTGTTTTCTGCTCGGTTCTTGGATCGCAGTGAATCCTGTCGCCGAGTGATCCTCAGCAGGCCGCCAGTTGCAATCATCACTGCTATTGGATAACGAGACTGTCAATCATCCTGTGGGCGAGAACAAACCAAACAGTATAAGTGAGGGATCACGTAGATTCACAGAATATACCACGACAGGTTTATCAGCTGATCTGTCGTATGAGACTGAATGGCTTATCCTGTGATAACCACCGGCTGGATGTACATTATGCTGATTATTACACGAAACTAATGTATTAGACAAACAGCTGATCTGATTTGTAATCATTTATTAACTGTTTAATTAAATGTAATGCTGACAGAAAGAAAAATGGCTGATTCATTCATTCATTCGTTTTCTTTCGGCGTAGTCCCTTTATTCATCAGGGGTCGCCACAGCAGAATGAACCGCCAACTATTCTAGCATATGTTTTCAACAGCGGATGCCCTTCCAGCTGCAACCTAGCACTGGGAAACACCCATACACACTCATTCACACACACACTCCTACACTATGGCCAGTTTAGTTGATCAATCCCCCTATAGCGCATGTGTTTGGACTGTGGGGGAAACCGGAGCACCCGGAGGAAACCCACACCGATACAGGGAGAACATGCTAATTTTTGCTTCATCTTAGATCCCCTACTAGTAAATATTCATTTTCCTTCGGCTTACTCTCTTTATTTATCAGGGGTCACAACAGTGGAATGAACCGCCAACTATTCCAGCATATGTTTTACACAGCGGATGCCCTTCCAGCCGCAACCCAGTACTGGGAAACACCCATACACACTCTAACATTCACACACACACTCATACATTGTGGCCAATCTAGTTTAACATTTAAATATTGACTCATTATACTGCCAAAGTTGTGTTTAAATTACTTTTCCTATTGCTTTAACTTGACCCAGTACTGCAGTAAATTTATTAAGAAATAAAAGTATTTTCAAAACAAACATAACATTTTGTAAAGATAGAGAAAAGTTAAATATTGCATGCATTTAAACAGGAACCATTTCAAAGGAATGGCAACTTATTTAATGCATGCAATAGATTGTGACTTATAGGTAATTCATAATCATGTGCAACCATTATGATAAAGTGACCCTGTTTAGTTTATTCTGCACAATATAATTCATTTATTCGTTCATTTTCCCTCAGCTTAGTCTCTATTTCAGAGGTCGCCACAGCGGAATGAACCGCCAACTATTCCAGCATATGTTTTATAGAGCAGATGCCCTTCCAGCTGCAACCCAGTTCTGGGAAACACCCATACACACACATTCACACACACACACACACACACACACACACACACACACACACACACACACACACACACACACACTCATACACTATGGTCAATTTAGTTCATCAGTTCCCCTACAGTGCATGTGTTTGGACTGTGGGGGAAACCGGAGCACCCGGAGGAAACCCACACCAACACGGGGAGAACATGCAAACTCCACACAGAAACACCAACTGACCCAGCCGAGACTCAAACCAGCAACCTTCTTGCTTTGAGGCAATCATGCTACCCAGCGTGACACCATAACTACATACAGATCTGTTGAATTTCTCTACAGATATTAATGCAAGTACATTAAAAGTAACGGTAATTAAATGACCTAAATATGAACAGCAGTCCCATTATTTAGAGCAACTCGTTGCTTTATAACTTATTAATCCCAAACACTACATGCATCATGTCTGTTGCGTAATTACACAATAAGAAGCTCATTCAGACATGATAAATACACCACATAATTTGCTTAAACAATGCTCCAGGAACGAGAGAATCCTTCCTGATCATGAAGAAGTGTTTACACCGCTGCAGGAGCTCAGAGACACACACACTGCTCTGGCTCCACAATCCATTCACACCTTTCCAAATCAGGAGAAACAGCCATAAATCCAAGACAATAAAAGCTTCACTGAGCTTCCACTGGGACAAGAGGTGACCAGAAGACCATTCGTACCCTGGAGTGGAAAAACAGCACCTGGCAACCATCTAATGAGCGGCATAAACCAGACCAACCTGCCCAGACTTGCTGAAAATAAGTACCATAACCTACATTTCTGCGAAATATAAAATACATCGCTCCATGTACGTTTTGTTGTGTCTACATTTACATTTCTGCAAATCTGAAATATCATTTAGGATGTATTTGTTTGACATTTCAGATGGCAAATTCACTAGAGAGCGCTGTTTACATTTTTGCAAAACACAAAATACACTGCTCCTGGTACGTTTTGTTGTACATTTCAGATCCACTAGAGGGTGCTGTCTACATTTCTGCAAACATAAAATACATTGCTCCGGGTACGTTTTGTTGTACGTTTCAGATGACAAATCCACTAAAGGGTGCTGTTTATATTTCAGCAAATTTAAAATACGTAATTTAGGGTGCGTTGTGTTGTACGTTTCAGGTGAAAAAACACTAGAGGGTGCTGTCTACATTTTTGCGAATCTGAAATATTATTTAGGGTGTATTTGTCTGACATTTCAGATGGGAAATTCACTAGAGAGTGCTGTTTACATTTTTGCAAAACACAAAATACACTGCTCCTGGTATGTTCTGTTGTACGTTTCAGATCCACTAGAGGGCACTGTCTACATTTCTGTGAAAAAAAAAAACAAAAACATTGCTCTGGGTACGTTTTGTTGTACATTTCTGATGACAAATCCACTAGAGTGCGCTGTCTACATTCCTGCAAACATAAAATACATTGCTCCGAGTACGTTTTGTTGTACGTTTCAGATGACAAATCCACTAGTGGGTGCTGTTTATATTTCAGCAAATTTAAAATATGTAATTTAGGGTGCGTTGTGTTGTACGTTTCAGGTGAAAAAACACTAGAGGGTGCTGTGTACATTTTGCGAATCTGAAATAAATAAATGCATTGTTCACCAATAATAAAATCTAAAATACATGAAGGGATAGTTCACTAAAAAAGGAAATTTTTCTCACTATTTACTAGTGGTTATACACCTTAAAAATACCTTATAGAACAATATTTTTTAAGAGTCAACTATCCCTTTAAGGTGTGTTTTGTTGTGCTTTACAGATGACAAATAGAGGGCGCTGTTTGAAATGTTTGCAAATCTGACATATGTTACTGTGGATATGTTTTGTTGTACATGTCAGATCCACTAGAGGGCGCTGTCTACATTTCTGCAAAACATAAAATACATTGCTCCGGGTATGTTTTGTTGTACGTTTCAGATGACAAATGCACTAGAGGGCGCTGTCAGATAACAAATCCACTAGAGGGCGCTGTTTACATCTTTACAAAACACAAAATACATTGCTCCGGATATGTTTAGTTGTATGTTTCAGATGTCAAATCCACTAGAGGGCGCTGTCTGTATTTCTTCAAAACATTAAATACATTACTCCGGGTACGTTTTGTTGTACGTTTCAGATGGAAAATGCACTAGAGGGCGCTGTCAGATAACAAATCCACTAGAGGGTGCTGTTTACATCTTTACAAAATACAAAATACATTGCTCCGCATACGTTTAGTTGTACGTTTCAGATGTCAAATCCACTAGAGGGCACTGTCTGTATTTCTGCAAAACATTAAATATATTGCTCCGGGTACGTTTTATTGTACGTTTTGAAAAATGCACTAGAGGGTGCTGTCAGATAACAAATTCCCTAGAGGGTGCTGTCAGATAACAAATCCACAAGAGGGCGCTGTTTACATTTTTACAAAACACAAAATATATTGCTCCGGGTACTTTTTGTTGTACGTTTCAGATGACAAATCCACTAGAGGGTGCTGTCAGATAACAAATGCATTAGAGGGCGCTGTCATATAACAAGTCCACTAGAGGGCGCTGTCAGATAACAAATGCATTAGAGGGCGCTGTCATATAACAAATCCACTAGAGGGCGCTGTCAGATAACAAATCCACAAGAGGGCGCTGTTTACATTTTTACAAAACACAAAATACACTGCCCCTGGTACGTTTTGTTGTACGTTTCAGATCCACTAGAGGGCACGGTCTACATTTCTGTGAAATGTGAAAAAAAAAAACATTGCTCCAGGTACGTTTTGTTGTACATTTCTGATGACAAATCCACTAGAGTGCGCTGTCTACATTTCTGCAAACATAAAATACATTGCTCCGGGTACGTTTTGTTGTACGTTTCAGATGACAAATCCACTAAAGGGTGCTGTTTATATTTCAGCAAATTTAAAATACGTAATTTAGGGTGCGTTGTGTTGTACGTTTCAGGTGAAAAAACACTAGAGGGTGCTGTGTACATTTTTGCGAATCTGAAATAAATAAATGCATTGTTCACCAATAATAAAATCTAAAATACATGAAGGGATAGTTCACTAAAAAAGGAAATTTTTCTCACTATTTACTAGTGGTTATACACCTTAAAAATACCTTATAAAACAATATTTTTTAAGAGTCAACTATCCCTTTAAGGTGTGTTTTGTTGTGCTTTACAGATGACAAATAGAGGGTTTTTTTTTTAATGTTTGCAAATCTCACATGAGTAACATCTCATGTTACTGTGGATATGTTTTGTTGTACATGTCAGATCCACTAGAGGGCGCTGTCTACATTTCTGAAAAACATAAAATACATTGCTCCGGGTATGTTTTGTTTTTTTCAGATGACAAATCCACCAGAGGGCGCTTTTATAGTTTTGCAAATCTGAAATATGATATGATATGATTCTGCAAAACTTTAAATACATTGCTCCAGGTATGTTTTGTTGTACGTTTCAGATGACAAATGCACTAGAGGGCGCTGTCAGATAATAAATCCACTAGAGGGTGCTGTTTACATCTTTACAAAACACAAAATACATTGCTCTGGATACGTTTAGTTGTATGTTTCAGATGTCAAATCCACTAGAGGGCGCTGTCTGTATTTCTGCAAAACATTAAATATATTGCTCCGGGTAAGTTTTATTGTATGTTTCAGATGACAAATCCACTAGAGGGCGCTGTCTGTATTTCTGCAAAAAATTAAATACATTACTCCGGGTACGTTTTGTTGTACGTTTCAGATGGAAAATGCACTAGAGGGTGCTGTTTACATCTTTACAAAATACAAAATA